TATGAATAGTAGATGCTTATGCTGTATTGCGATTCTTGTATTCTCAGATAGTTACATAGTGTCTTTATCGACTTATACTTTTTGGTTGTATAAATATTTTGGTTAAAAATAAGGGCCATATTCAATGGAGTACACTGGAACTCTTGTAACCAGACCACAAGAAGCTGGAGGTGGCTGTGGGAAGCCAAGGAGTAACGTTCATGCTCTATGCTAAGGGATAAGCGTTTTATTTCAGAAGAGCTGGATGATGTTAAGATTCTAACCGTTGACTCTTTTTATTTGATGGTGCTACTGTTACGGTTCAAACTTGGGATTTCAGGTATGCTAGGCGAGCACTCTGCTCCTGAACTACACCCTGAACTATGACGTAGCCCACATATAAACTGTTAAATAAAAAATAAAGGGGTGGTGTGGAAGGCGCAGCTCAGTGGCAGCGGAACAGCATTGCTAAGCAAGCCTAGCGCATGGGTTAAATAGCTTGCAGAATAAGGACAAGAAAGGGGACGGAGCAGGGGGAGCAGGAGGATGAGAAGGGAGAAGGATAAAGATCGCTGAAGCAAAGACTGAGGGTTCTCTCCGGCTCAGGACTAAAGGAGGTCATGGGTACACAGGAGTAATCTGGCTTACTTTTTCTTTCCTTTAAAGAAAATACTGTATTTTTGATGCCATGTTGCCCAGGCTGTGTTCAAACTCCTGGGCTCCAGTGATAATCCTGCCATGACTTCAGAGTAGTTAGAACTACAGGCACGCTCTATGCTCTGCACCACACCTGTTTAAAAAAAACAATAGCGACACCACCTGAAGATGTGCGCGCGAAAGGATGGGGAGTGAGGATGCTGATGGGGCCTCAACCTTTCTAAAGGATGCCTGTGCCAAGAGCCGGGACTGGGCATGTCCAGGGTCTTACTACAGTTCTACCCAAATCACGCCCTACAACTACCCAGTGCTCATCTGAGAGGATGGGGACATGGCCAACATGTTTATCTGCCCTCAGGAATCCCGAACCCAAGCTTGGAGAGGCTGAGAATCTGTGAACACTGCCTGGAGAAGGCTCTCTCTTGTTCTCCACCTGTGCCCTCCCCAGGGGGAAAAAAAAAGAAGCCAGACACAGTTCCAAACTAGGGGGAGGAAGGAAAACTGGGAGTTCTAGGTCATCCTGAGTTACAAACAAAATTCAAGATTGAAGCTAACCTGGGCTACACAAGGCCCTGTCCCCAAAAAAAGAGTAAAAGAGCAAAGAAGACAGGGTAGCGGTAACTTAAATTCAAAGTCCATGCTACTTGAGAACACTACAGACAAATGTATCAGCAAATATCCTCACCCCATCCTCACACAGGCAGTTACACTACCAAGCCAGACTTGAAAGCTGAGGATATTTCCATAAGGCAGATGAATTAAGAACACAGCTGCCTTTGCAGGTATACCTTCTCAACCTAGACATAGTAGGGAGGGCCTTGGACTTGCCACAGGGCAGGGTGCATTGTCCTCTCATAGGATTGGAGGGGAGAGGGGTGAGAGGGTATGGGGAGGGTGTGGGAAGGGGGCGGGAGTGGGAATTTGGGTTGGTATTTTTTAAAGTAATAAAATAATAATAATAATAAAAAGAATACAGCTGCCATGGGAGGAAACTGAACACAAAGGCAAGGTGTAGTGTCTCACACCTGTAATCCTAGCATTTGGGAAGCTGAGGCAGGAGAACTGCTCTAAATTCAAGGTCAGCCTATACCACAGAGTGAGGCAGAAGTGTGGAATTTTTTTTAAATATTTATTTATTTATTATGTATACAATACTCTGTCTGTGTGCATGCCTGAAGACCAGAAGAGGGCGCCAGACCTCTTTACAGATGGTTGTGAGCCACCATGTGGTTGCTGGGAATTGAACTCAGGACCTATGGAAGAGCAGACAAAGCTCTTAACCACTGAGCCATCTCTCCAGCTCCCTGGAATATTTTTTTATATTATTATTATTATTTTGGTTTTTCAAGACAGGGTTTCTCTGAAGCTTTGGAGCCTGTCCTGGAACTAGCTCTTGTAGACCAGGCTGGCCTCAAACTCACAGAGATCTGCCTGGCTCTGCCTCCCAAGTGCTGAGATTAAAGGTTTGCGCCACCACTGCCTGGATCTTATTTTATTATTTTATATGTATGTATTCTTTTATGTATGTGCAAAAAAAATTTCAAATTAAAGCAATAAGATATTAATTTCTTACACACACTCCCATACACAGACACAGTCTCAAATATCCCAAGTAGCTCAAACCTTCTATATAGCTTCTGTTGGCCTTGAACTCCTGATCTTCCTCCCTGAGCCTCAAAAATGCTGGGATTACAGATAGACCCAAGGCATTTGATTGTAAATTTTTACTTGCAAATCTGGCAAAGATTTAAGAGTAGAACAGCAAGAGAACAAAACAGAACCACCTATATTTGCAAGGCCTATGCACACATTGGTGGAAGCAGTACAAAGCACCATGAAAAGTTATTACAATTAATCAGAAACTGCAAGAAAAAAAGTGATTACAATTCTCAATTTGTGCTCACCTTGGCTCAGCAATGTCAGTTATCCAGGTATCTGTCCTAAACAGATATTTGTAGGCAAGCGAGGTGGAGCAGGCCTATAATCCCAGGTCTTTCCAGGTTGACAGGAGGATTACTGGATTATAGACAGAACCTATTACTTGATGTGATATTTGAGAGGGTAACACATGAGAAAAATCAGGTGTTCCTCAGCCAAAGCAAAAGCACATTAGGAAGTCTGTAAGGCAAGTGGTGTGGCTTCAGGGACTGAAGCGGTTTAATGAAAGCACTGAGGCTGAAGAGGCAAACAGCACAAGGTCGAAACCCCAAACCTTAGCTTAGCAAGACACACCAAGAGCTAAAGATGTCTCCAGAGGTTTGAAAACAGCCTCTACAGCACCGTTAGGTCTGGCTTCATCTAGTTACCTAAGATTTCCTTAAGACACCGAGATGACAGCTCAGCTGGTAAAGACCTGAAGACCTGAGTTACCTGCACAAAGGCAGAAGAGACCTGCAATGGTCCACATGCCCAAACACACACCGTAAAACGAACACTTAAAGCAGACATTCCACGCCAGGCTTCCAGGGCTTTGTCCATTAGGAACTGTGCTCGGGTGCTTCTTGTAATATGATTTTGTGACTTCTCTTGTAATTTGTTTTCTTCAACTTCCAACAAAAGTCTAAGCAGGAAGCTCAGTGGTTAGGAGCATGCGTGACTCTTCACATCCGCCTGGAAGCTGGGGAGTTCAGTCTGTGGCCAGCCTGGGCTATAACATGGCAAGACCTTGTCTCAAAACAAAGCCAAGGTGGGAGGGGGTAGAGAGGTGGCTGATCAGTTAAAACACCTGTTGCTCTTGCAGAGGCCCCAGGTTCAGTTTCTAGCACCCTCGTGGTGGCTCACAACTGCCTGTAACTCCAGCTACAGAGGATCCAACTCCCTATTCTGATCTCCAAGGGCACTAGGCATGCATGTGGTGCACATCCACATATATAAACCAAACATTCATACACATACAGTAAGTGCAAAAATATATTTTTTATTTTTTTTGCTTTTTTGAGAAAGGGTTTCTCTGTAGTTTTTGGAGCCTTTCTGGAACTAGCTCTTGTAGACCAAGCTGGCCTCAAACTCACAGAGATCCGCCTGCCTCTGCCTCCCGAGTGCTGAGATTAAAGGCATGTGCCACCACTGCCTGGCGCAAAAAAAAAAAAATTTAAAAAGCCAAACAGGGGCGATGGTGGCGCACGCCTTTTAATCCCAGCACTCGGGAGGCAGAGGCAGGCGGATCTCTGTGAGTTCGAGACCAGCCTGATCTACAGAGTTAGTTCCAGGACAGGCTCCAAAAGCCACAGAGAAACCCTGTCTCGAAAAACCAAAAAATAAAATAAAATAAAATAAAAATAAAAAGCCAAACAAAACAATAAGATATATGGTGTTGTGTATAAAAGTTATCTGAACAGTCAGAGATTCCATGCCTCCGACTTCCTTGGGCACCTACACAGACACATACACACTATTAAAAAACAAATCTTTGTGAAATCTACTTTTTCAAGCTTGCACCTTCAGCTTTGATGTGTCTCTTGGGTTACTGAATAAGAAAAACACACTCGCCGGGCGGTGGTGGCGCACGCCTTTAATCCCAGCACTCGGGAGGCAGAGGCAGATGGATCTCTGTGAGTTCGAGACCAGCCTGGTCTACAGAGCTAGTTCCAGGACAGGCTCCAAAGCCACAGAGAAACCCTGTCTCGAAAAACAAAAACAAAACAAAACAAAAAAAAAAAAAAAGAAAAACACACTCCATTTCTCATTCTGTCCTTTGAAAGCCCGAGACTCACTTTGTCAACTACAGATTTTGATTTGCTGACTAAATCTAAAGATGGTCAGAAAACTAAGACGACTAGCTAAAGAAATTAATTTCTTTTGGGCTGCTATTCTGCAGCCAAACTGGGTGGAAGATTGACTAAAAGAGTCCATGGCCCTTAGTTTGCAGGAGGCATTCCAAAGGCTTCTCTGTCTGGTGCAGTCCCAGGTTCCCACCACGCGAGGCTTCGGAGCTAGAAGGATCTGCAGCCTGGGCTTTTCCAAAAAAACCTCTGACAGATGTGTACCCGGGAGAAACCACCAGATCCCAAGCCTGCGAGGTTGGTCTGGCGACTAGGCCGGCCTTGCTCAGCATTTCTTGCCTGCAGGGCTCAGAGCTAATGGACTGCAGAAAATCAGGCTCCGGGTGGGGTTCGGGTTGGGTTCCCACAGGTCGCACTGTCGGGAACAGGCGCAGCCTCGGAAGCCCAGGGCTCCGGGATCGGACCTCTCCACCTCAAGACTTCCGCACTCTGCGCTCCGGCAGTAAAGAAAAACCTCTAGAAGATTCCGCCAGCGGGGCTGGAGTCTACCCCCATAAGGCCCTTGGGCGTAGCCACTCCCTGCCGCCCCAGCGCCCCCGCGCCGTTGCCCAGGTAACCGAGGGGCGGTGGCAGCGGCGTGGGGTGGGACTTCCGGCGAGTGACGCGGCCGGGCTCGGCTACAAAAGAGGTCGGCTGCGGCGGGCCGGGCGGAACTTTCCAGAACGCTCGGTGGGAGGTGGAGGACCGGCGTCCGCCCGAACCGCGCTGTGCTACGGCTCTCCGGCACCGGCCCGCTCACCGGTGAGTCTCGGGCCTCCCTCGGCCGCGACGCGCGGCCTGGACGCCAGACAAGCGGGGAAGCCGCGCAGCCGGAGGCGGTTAGCCCCGCGTGGGCGGGGGCTGCCGGTTCCCCGAGCCGGACTCTGTCTTCGGAAGGCGGCCGGGATGCTCGGCGCCCTGCCCGCCCGCACGCACGCCACGAGGAAGCCTGAGGCCGAGCCAGGCTCGCGCCCGCCTCAGACGCCTCTCGCTGCGCACCCCTTTCGCCCGTCCGCCCGCGCCGGGTGGGCAGCGCTGCGCACGCGCGGACCGAGGCAGGGGTGAGGGGCTGCGGGAGGAGCCGGGCGGAGGCTGCGGCTGGCGCTTCTCCTGGCTCTCCTCCCTCTCTTTGTTGAGGCCTTCTCCCTCCGCCTTTTCGATCTGGGTGGGAGGGAGGAAGGAAGGAAACCTTAACGGTCGGCGTCAGGTGCCGGGGAAACCCAGAGGGCGAAGTCGACTTCGCGGGCCCGAGGGGCGAGAGCGGGTAAGCGGCGAACAGGGGCAGGATGGCGCCGGCGCCGGGGCACCTGCTCCTTGGAGCTGGACTCGTAAGCCACTCCTCCACCCCCGGGAGCCCGCTGTCTCTTCCGGCGAGTGCAGGGCCTTTATCAGCTGTACAAAGGCAATGGTAACGTGCTAACCAATGGACAGAACCTATCGGTGCTGCTCTGGGTTCCTAGCACAACCTCTGGGGAAAGGAAACCGGAAGAAACCCGATCTCACACACATCTGGTGGTGCGGGAGAGAAGGAACCAGCTGCTAGAAAGGCTTTCGGGTCCCCTCAAGTTTGTATTTAATCTGTTAGAATTTGCAGCAGAATCGTATCGGAATTGTTAGCTTTTACGACGTTTAGGGAAGCTGTGTTTTTTATATGGCAAAGAGCAGATTGCTTTAGTGATGGTAGTTTGTTAAAAAAAAATTACCAGTTAAAAGCCAGTCATGGTGGCGCACACCTTTAACCCAGCGCTCAGGAGGCAGAGGCAGGTGAATTTTCTGCACAAAATTAAAAGCTGGTTTAAAACGCCCCCATTTTTCTGATTTCAGGCTGTAAAAAATGGTGAAAGAAACCACTTACTATGATGTTTTGGGGGTCAAACCCAATGCCACCCAGGAAGAATTGAAAAAGGCTTATAGAAAATTGGCCTTGAAGTACCACCCTGATAAGAATCCAAATGAAGGCGAAAAGGCAAGTACATTCTCAAAGCAGCTCAGCAGTGTTGCCTTGTGTGTAGCTGCTGGGGCCTGAAAGTCAAGGTCGTCCTAATGCAGTGGCTGTGCTTTGTGACTGTCTCTAATGGGATTTCTTTTTCTGCAACAGTTTAAACAGATTTCTCAAGCTTATGAAGTTCTTGCTGATTCCAAAAAAAGGGAGCTATATGATAAAGGAGGAGAGCAGGCGATCAAAGAGGGTGGAGCAGGTGGTGGTTTTGGCTCACCCATGGATATCTTTGATATGTTCTTTGGAGGAGGAGGAAGGATGCAGAGAGAAAGGAGAGGTAAGGAAAATCTAGCTTACCTGAGCAGAGTGTGGAGTAGCTGCCGGTGAAAGACTGAATTCCCCTATAATGCATGTTGGTTCGTGAACTGCCTCTGATTTCTGGTGCTCTTATTATAATTGAGATTTTTACGTGATCAAAATAGCTAAGCCAATCTAGTGGGTGTATCCAACTCCACAGATTCCCAACAGTCAGGTAACAAAGCACAGCAACTGGGCTTCTGAGCCACACATTTTGGGCGATAACCTTTGCCCCTAAACATAGTGGTAAGTGCAGTGGCCTCTGTCGGTTAAAGATGAAGTTGAGTTGAAAAAAACTAAAGCTTAGCAAGCTTGTGCAGCAAACCAAGACTGAAAACACAGCTTGTTGCCTCCAGATGACCTGCCTGCTGCCTGTTTAATCTTGCTTCAGCTTTGCTAACTCAATTTAGGCATGGAATGTTTTAACCAAAAAGTTGTCTGTGGGCCAGACAGGCATCTTGGGAAGATAGTATTGGAGATCAAAATAGTACTTCATTCTCAATACAATTTATACAAGCTGATGGAGAGACACAGTTATAGAACAGGTGGGCAGGCCATTTAATTTCGCTTTGCCCTTCTAAAGGTTTAGGAAGACTTGAGAAATTGTTTACTATGTTTTTATAAGAATTTACTGAAAATGAAAGCTGTGGTCCTGAGAAGTGGTTCAGTGGTTAAGAACACTTGTATTTTTTGCAAAAGATCCAGGTTTCATTTCCCAACACCCACATCCAGTGGCTCACTACTGCCTGTGACTCTAGCTCCAGGGGATCTGATAACCTCTTCCGACCTCTGGGCTTATATACATGTATGCACACAAATTAAAATTAAAAATATTGTTAGCCATAAAACATTTGTAAGGATGGTAGGGGCTTCTGAGAAGTTACCAGTAGCCTTTTTGGCTTAGTTAATATAATTTGAGTGGGTTTTGTTCCTGCTGCTTTGAAAGTGTACTTGGTCAGTTTCCAGAAGCTTTGTGTTTTTTCCTTTCCTATACCCAGTATAAAGTTGAGAAAGGGGCAACTTTCAACTTGGTAGAGCCTACTTACTTAACATGTTCTCTTTATGATAATAGAAACCCAAAGTGAAGCTAAAAGAAGGATTTGTTGACACCACCTCACTTAAAAGGAGTGAAACTTCATTCAGATAGCCATTGGGCAGTGCTATTTTGTGGTGGATAAAGTCCTGGTGGAAAGATCACTAGCTGGGAACTTATTAACCATAGATAAATGATTTTATTTCCATAGCCTAGTTGTCCTTAAGTGATCTCAATAACCTATTTCCCATTGCAGGAGGTAAATTATACATGGCATTCCTTTGTAGTCACCACCCAAATGTGGGTCTTTAAATTCAGATTAATTTAAGATGGGAAAAAGAGTCTCTCCAGCTATGGTAGCCGCCACACTTAATAAAGTTGTGTTCCTTAATTATGACTAGTAGTTGCTATATTGAATGCATAAAATGTGCCCATTGTTACAGAAAGATCTGTTCTATTACAAAAGGCATAAGAAATTTATCATTTGAAACAACCAGTACTAGCCTAGCAGTAGGACCTATTGAAAACAGAAGTAAGAATTGCTATTTCAGTAGTGTCTCAATATTGGCTTCTCCAGCCAATCTTGATGAGAAAGAATTTACTGTTTGGATGAAGTAACTGGCCATGTTGCTTAATACCTAATAAGTGAAACCTTCAAAGGGATACATGCTTTGAATTTATTGTGAAATGTGCCTGAACATTGAGTGTCTTTTAAGGGGAGTATTAATTGTTGCATTTCTAAGGCAGCCTCTTCTGTGTCATTAGGTAGATGAATCTCTGACGGTTTCCTTATCTATGATATAGTTCAGTTTGAGAATCAAGTGATTGGGTGAATGTTGTATATGACTATAGCTCAACAAATTTACAGTTTGAGGCTGGTATTAGATTTTCCTTTTCCCTTTTTATAGTGCCTTCAACAAACATTACACATAAGCATTTAATGAGTAGTGTTTTGTTCCAGGTAAAAATGTTGTGCATCAGCTCTCAGTGACCTTAGAAGACTTGTATAATGGTGCAACAAGAAAACTGGCTCTGCAGAAGAATGTGATCTGTGACAAATGTGAAGGTGAGGGCTCTTCCTGTTGGGTTCCTGAGATACGGTCGTTATAGATTGGGCTGGACTTGTGTTCTAAATCCTGGGGTTACACCTGGTCCCATGCCTCACTTTTTGGATAGACAAAAATGATGCTACACTAAAAGCTGAACCTCCCACCATCTTTATCATGACATTTTCATGCATGTATATAATGTATTTTTCATCATTGCTCTTTTGTTCAGCTTCCACTATTCCTTATTCCTTAGTACTCTGTATGCCTATGTTTTGATGGCTCAGTGAGTCCCATTAGAGTTGGCTTCAGTGGTTGTATTATAGAAGAAAATGTTTCTCCAGGGATGAGGCCTTGACATCAGCTTCTTTATTACAAGAAGTTGTAATAAAGATCCTAAGTAGCACTTTTTTTTTTAAACACAACTTTGTACATATGCATGCTGTGTTGTCTGTGTGGGAGGTCAAAAGACAACTTGTAGTAATCAGTTTTCTACTTCAACCATGCAGGCTAAAATAATCAAACTGGGGTTGGTCAGGCTTGGTGTCTGGGGTGGGGGTGCTATTGGAATTAGAAGAGGACAGTCTTCTAATTAACTGCCAGACTCGCTGCTTCCTTAAAGTGTTCTCTCAAGAGAGTGCAAATTCTGAAGGTGCTTGCAGAGATCTTCACTTTTAGGCCTGCCTACTTGAGCTCTAACTGGAAAGTCATGACACTCCACCTCCACTTGTCCCCCACCCCACCGTGTTTTGCCTGTCTTTGTGTATCTCTCTGTACTGCTTCGTGCAGTACCTATGGAGGCCAGAAGAAGGCTTCATATCCCCTGGAACTAGAATTAAAGGGGGTTGTGGGTTGTGAGCCACCGTTTGGGTGCTGGGCATCAAACCCAGCTCCTCTGTACCCGCAGCCAATGTTCATAAGTGAGTCATCTCATATGCCCTGCTTTTCCTTCCCATTCCCACCCCTTTATTTCAACCAAAATCCTATGAATACATGCTCTGACACTCCTGGGTATTATCATATCTAGCCAACACAAACACTTGCTGGCCTCCATTTCTAAATACAAATTCAAAAGGCAAGACTTCTTACCCTCCTTGGCACCTGATGAGATTTACAGTTTTAGAGCTTGCTTACCTTGTTTCCCCCACCCCCCAACTTCCAAAGAAGAGTATTTTTAAACCTTGTGGTTTTGAAATGGCCCTTTTAGAGTCTGAATTGTACATTTTTGGACAGCAGTCCATAAGCCCTTGAAAATATTAAGGAATTAGACTCGGTCTCTGCTAAGTTCATAACGCAAGTTTATTTTGAAATTCTTCAGGCCGAGGTGGTAAGAAAGGAGCAGTAGAGTGCTGTCCCAACTGTCGTGGGACTGGCATGCAAATAAGGATTCATCAGATCGGACCAGGAATGGTCCAGCAAATGCAGTCAGTGTGCATGGAATGCCAGGGTCATGGAGAACGCATCAGTCCTAAAGACAGATGTAAAAGCTGCAATGGAAGAAAGATAGTTCGAGAGAAGAAGATTTTAGAAGTTCATATTGATAAAGGTAAGTTCCGATCTACACTCTAGTCTGAATCATATATTTTTATTCTGACAATTCATATTATGTTTTGTTACTGTTCACCCCATTCCTCATTCTCTTCTGTAGCACTTGCTGTCATGTTCTCATCTTTGTAGACTGATACACTGAGTGTAATTAGGTTAGGAGTGCTTTGTGAGCATGAGTGGGGATTATTTACTGGTAATTTTTCAGTGGCTACACCATCAAAGAAATGAAACCCCCCCCTCCAGTAAACAACTGTGTAGAGAGTGTGTGGCCTGATGAGCCCCTCACTCATTTACAATTATTTTTAAAACTATTTTTAGGTTATGTGAGTAATCCTAATTAAGTGGCAACAATTAAAGGTCAATTTATCCAAAATCGGTTCTTTGAAGTCTAATTGTCCTGTCTCAGAGAAGTTACACTGGCACATTCTTAGGGGATGTGTGTGAGGGAAAGAATAAGCTCATTAAAACTTAGATTGCTGACTTGTTACACGTGCAGTTACTACAGTCCTAGTGTAACACATCTTTAAAGAGTATGTGTGAGTATCAGTCCTGTTTGTTTTTTCAAGACAGGTTTTCTCTGTGTAGCCTGGCTCTCCTGGAACTTTTGTAGACCAGTCTGGCCTTGAACTCACAGAGATTGCCCACCTCTGCCTCCCAACTACTAGGAGTAAAGGTGTGCGCCACTGCACCCAGTGCAGTCAATTGGTGGGCCCACTCGTCATAGAACAGGGAAGGACTAGGAAACAAATGTGATAGAGTGTATATGATGTGAAGTCCCCAAAGAATCGATAAGAAATATACTGAGAAAAAACATATAAAAATAAAAACCTAAAAACAGTCAGGCCATGGTGGTGTATGCCTTTAATCCTGGCACTTGGGAGGCCAAGGCAGATCTCTTTTAAGTCTGAGGTCAGCCTGGTATAGAGTTCCTGGGCAGCCAAAGCTGTTACACAGAGGAACCCTGTCTCAAAACAGAAAAAGCTTTAAAAAAAAAAAAAAGACAGGATTTCTGTGTAGTCCTGAGGAACCAATTTTATCACCACGAGGTCGTGGCTTACCGCAGTATCAGTCTCAGGCAGGAGAAGCATGGCGTCTGCCACACTGCCCTTCTTCCCAGCATTCTGTTCTGTCTACTCCGCCCACCTCTAAGTAGTGCTCTATCAAAAGGCCAAGGCAGTTTCTTTATTCCACCAATGAAAGCAACACAAATACAGAGGCCCTCCTACACCACTTCCCTGTTGGAAGCCATCTGTTGTGGAGAGCATCCTACCAACATCCTATCACAGTTTTTAAGATTTCTTTTTAATGGCTTCTTGTTTAGGCTGTTACTATTTGCAGGGGGGGGGTAAGCGTTGTCACAGAGTCTTCCCTATCCTTTCTTACCTGTGTGTGTGTGTACAGTCATGGATATCACTGCCAGCATAGCTTATTTGGTCTTTGTGACCTTTGGGAATGTGAGCACAGACTGAACAGGGGCTACTGGTTGCAGTGGGGCTATCCAGACAGGGCTCTGCAATGTAGCTGGGATCATGTACATCAACGTAGCTTCAGGCCACAGCATAGACCATGATATCTGCCTAGCCTTCTGCCCATATTGCCACTGTTTTTAAATTTCTTTCAACAGGATTTCAGTATGTAGCACAAGCTGCTTCTGCCTCCCTGGTGTTGGGATCATAAACCTGCCCTCCAGACTTAGGCCCTGGGCTGGTAGATAACACCAATTGTATAAGCGAGAGAACCCGAATTCAAATTCCCAGCACCAAAGGGGAAAAAATGCTAGGTGTGGCCGTATACTACTAGTCTGTATACTCCTGGCCTGGAGGTCTAGGTGTTGAAGAGAGCATCACTAGGGCTTGTGACCTGGTTAACTCTAGATTCAGTGAGCCAGAAGGACGCGTGATCTCCTCTCCTGGCCTCCATGAACAAGTATACATTATTCATTGAACTAAGTGTGTGAGTCAGAATTAGAAACAGGTAGGAATCTCAGTAAATACACACATTAAAAAATATATGCTGCATAGGAATATACTCAGTATTTTATATATAGACCATATGGGCTAAGATAGTATTTAATAAAATAGATAAAAATCTAACAACCTTTTTTTGTATTTTTGAGACTGTCCTGGAACTCATTTTGTAGACTAGGCTGGCCTTGAACTCGGAGATCCTGGCTCTGCCTCCCTTGTATTGGGATTAAAGGTGTGCACCACCACTGCCTGGTTAACAGCTTTTTTGTTTTTAATGAGTTGAGGCTAGTAGAAACCAAACCCAGGGCCTTTGCATGTACTGAGTAATTATCACATAGCTACCTATCGTAAAAGATAGTTTTTGAGCAAAATGAACAGACGCGGGAAAAATGAGAACTGAAGGTGTGAGAGGCTTCAAGGGACAAATACTCATTTATGGATTTTTAAATAAACTGGTAGTTTTCTTACTAGAAATACAGCTGCTACAACAAAAGCAGTTGTCACAGCTGCTTAGTTTAATGGTAGTAATTACAGAGTGTTACACAATAGAAATAAGTTAGTGGTAATAGTGTTTATCAGTTGCCAGTTGGGTTCCGGCGTGGGCATTTTTCATCCTCAGATACTGGAATGAAATGTCTCTTTGGGAAAGTTGAGACTTAAGATGGATATGTAGGTAAGTAGGTAGTTAATTTCTGAAATTAGAAGCCTGATTCTTTGTTGAGTTGTATCATCTACTGTTTGTGGTGATAGCCTGCTTAAGTGCAGCCAAACTGGACTGGATGCCATCCACAAGGACTTGATGCTTAAAAAAAATCTGCATGTAGAAGTCAGAAGGACAAGTTGCAGGAATTGTACTGAAGGTTGAACCCAAGTCCTTAGCATATGCTGTACCACCATATCTGTATTTCAGTAGATTTTATGGTTTTGACCTTTGTGTCTGATATCAGTAAAACTTCACAATCGATCTGTGTTTAGGTATGAAAGATGGTCAGAAGATAACATTCCATGGTGAAGGAGACCAAGAGCCAGGACTGGAGCCAGGAGACATTATCATTGTGTTAGACCAGAAGGACCATGCTGTTTTTACACGGTAAAGACTTAATCACTCTTTCAAACAAACTTGCATATTTGGTTGAGTTCTAGTTTGAGAACACAGAATAAATAACTTAGGTATGTATAACAAGCTATAATGTGTTCTATAAAAGTTTATTTTCTGGGGCTGGAGAGATGGCTCAGAGGTCCTGCCTGAGGTTTTTTTTTTAATTCTCAGCAACCACATTGGTGGCTCGGAACCAGCTGAGATTTGGCGCCCTCTTCTGGCCTGCAGGCATATATTCAGACAGAACACTGTATACATAATCTAAAACTCATTACCTCTGATGTGGTTGTAAATGGTTGGAAGAATCAAGATTTTAACTTTTGACTTCAAAATTGTTGACTAGATGTTTTCTTTGACTGTAAATGGATAGCAAGCAAACTTTGCCGCCACCCTACCCCTTCAGTCTCTGGATAGTAGTTTCCCATCCTTGGTTTATGGTTTCAGTTGTCAATAAGATTAAATTTTGAGACTCTGTTAAGCATATATATATATTCAAGGCTGTAGTACTGAATTTGTATTGGGGGGGGGGTGGTTTTTTTCGAAAGGGTTTCTCTGTAGCTTTAGAGCATATCCTAGAACTAGCTCCTGTAGACCAGGCTGGTTTTGAACTCATGGAAATCTGCCCACCTCTGCCTCCCAAATGTTGGGAATCAAGTTGTGAGCCACCACTGCCCAGCTCTGAATTTGTACCTTGAAGCATAAGATTTCCAAACTCAATTTGGAATTGAGTCGGGGGAAAATGTGTGGAAGGAGCCTATTTAAGAAAGGGTATTTATCAGGTGCTCATTTTATGTTGGAAAAATATGAATTCGAGGGACTATTAACTATTAGAAGATGCTATCATGATGTTACTAGGCACAAGACTTAATACACGTACTAGCAAAGCAGTTCTTATTGTCCCTTAAAAATTCATAATTGACCTAAATAATCTAAGATCAGCCCAGGGTTGTTTGCATTTACCCTGATTCCTATATTACAAATGTGTATTAGCTTCCTTTGGCTTCAATGTTTTTTTGTTTTTCTCTCCCCTCCTAAGAAACCAGATTTACCTAGAGGTGGTAATACACACCTTTAATCCCAGATCTCTGTGAGGCCATCCTGGTCTACAAAGGGAGTTCCAGGGTAGCAAGAGCTTCAAGAGCTTTTACACCAGAGAAACAACAAAAAAGATTTAAAATTGTTTTAAGATCAAAGCATGCCTGCCTTGACCCTCCTGTCATTCTTCCTCTAAAGTGCTGGCCTGTACCACAGTGCCCAGCTCTGAGGTAGGATTTTGTAGCTTATTCAGCAAACAGCTGGCCACAAATCTCAACTTTCAGGTGTTTGTCAAAGTTTGCCCAGTGTGGTGTGTATAGTCATCTGGTGATTTGAAAGACATAACTGTTCCTTCTATTTACTGCTGTAGACGAGGAGAAGACCTTTTCATGTGTATGGACATACAGCTGGTTGAAGCATTGTGCGGCTTCCAAAAGCCAATATCCACTCTTGACAACCGAACCATAGTCATCACCTCTCATCCAGGTATAACTAGATGAACCTGTTTTCCTATTTGAACTTCTGAGGGGAAAGAATCATCTTTTCCTTCCTAGGGCTGAAATGAAGTTATGGGGCCTTGGATAAAATGTCAATTTCTTCTTGGGAAAGCTGTAAATGAAGGCAACAGGGTTGCTGGACCACAGTTAGCTCAGAGGTGTTTCCTTATGCAAATGTGACCATACTTAAGAATTTGGCTTCAATGTCTTTAGGTCAGATTGTCAAGCATGGAGATATAAAATGTGTGCTGAACGAAGGTATGCCAATATATCGTCGGCCATATGAAAAAGGACGTCTAATCATTGAGTTTAAGGTAAGAACTCGAGGATATTTGATAATGGCTAATAAAGAGTGAACAAATGCATTTATTCCCTTTGTCCAGAAAGAATTGACAAACCAGGTGACCAAGGTGGGGGACGTGGCTCAGAAAGGCTTACTTCTTAGTATTATGACAGTCTGTTAGCACCTATCCTGGGTGGTATGTCCATGTAATTCTAGCACTGGAGAGGATTGGGTAAAGAATAAATCATCCAAGCTGGGCGGTGGTGGCGCACGCCTTTAATCCTGGCACCTGGGAGGCAGAGCTACACAGAGAGAACATGTCTGAAAAAGCAAAATAGTAATGATTGGTTCTAAGCCAAAATTGCGAGGTGTACCTAAAGAAATAGGTAATTACGTTTTTGTTTGTTTGTTTGTTTTCTGGAGGAATAGTTCCAGTGTACTTAAAGGATCTAATGATAGACTCAGACTTAGCTGCAATTTCTTTTTTGCAGGTAAACTTTCCTGAGAATGGCTTTCTCTCTCCTGATAAACTTTCTTTGCTGGAAAAACTCCTTCCTGAAAGGAAGGAAGTAGAAGAGACTGATGAAATGGATCAGGTAGAACTGGTGGACTTTGATCCAAATCAGGAAAGACGGCGTCATTATAATGGAGAAGCATATGAGGACGATGAGCATCACCCTAGAGGTGGCGTTCAGTGTCAGACCTCTTAATGGGCCAGTTACTGTTTGTCACTCTATATGCAGTAGTGAATGTGGGAAGGACTGTAATCAAATATGCTCACTACTTGGTTGTTGTTCTTGTTTTAATATTCAACTATAGTAGTGTTTTAAAAGTTAAATGAAGAATAAACACAAATATAAAAGCTCTGACTTTGCCCTGTATGTATGATGACTTCAATGTTCAAGATGAAGTTTAGTACTTGTAAAAAAACTACTTAAAAGTTCCCTAGCATCTGTTAGGTCATATCTTGTGTAACTGATATTAGCTGTGTACATTAGACTGATATGCTAGGTATGTGTTATATGACCCTTAATTGTGAAGCTATGGAATTAAAATTCTGTATTTAAGGTAATCAGAAAAAGAAAACAATTAGTAGTGATATGTTGGTCTGTCTAGTTGTATGAAGTGGACTAATTGTGATGCCTCTGCATTGTATTGCCTCAGCCATTACTAGAAGGTGGCATAATACATAATTTCACCTGTTATTAGTGATAGAAATGATACATTCCTAAAGAAATTTATCATAAACTACTGCTTAAGGGCTTGCTCTTCTAGATTGCATTCCCTTCTGCTGTGCCATCTGTTAAAAGATATATATATATTATATATATACATACACAGTTAGAAAACATGGTCACCTCTCTTCCCTTCTCCTTGAACCATGATAAGCCCTTGGGTAGTGACTTCGAAAACCCAAGTAATTTTACAAATTAAAGTGAAGAGACCTTGTATGTGGGGAAGTGATTTGCATGTATAATCCAGGAAAGGCTTGCTATTTGACTTAGGCTCCAACGTAATTGCAATTTAATGTTGGTAGTATAGCAAATTATGAATAGCTTTGTTGTATGTTTTAAAGTCACATGTTCACATGCTTAAATCTGGGTATCAGAATTTAAGCAGTTATTGAAATGTATGACTGTCTCCTAATACACTGATTATAAAGTGTTTCTAACGTGTCACTGTAGGCCTTTTTTTCTCAGTTCAAAGTTTTGGCTTTTAGAATATAACTTTATTACTTTGTTCCTGAAATATGCAAATGATTAATATATATGGGTATGTAGCAAAAGTGTAGGTCTGAGCCCAGGACAGAAAAGGGAACTGCACCCACCTGGGTGAGAGTATGTGAACTTCATGCCAGTGGGTCTATCACATCTTCTGTAATCAGGAATTTAAAAACATTTCCAATCTGGAAGTACAACGAAGTTCTCTTCATGGAGAGAACATCTGAATCAAAAAGCAGGGTGAGAGAAATGGCTCAGTGTTTACACTGACTAAAGACCCAGGTTTAGTTATCAGACACCCATTTTAGGCATGAGACAGACATGATGTACGTACATACATACATGCATGCAAACAAAACAGTTAAAACTCAATTTGGGCGAATGGTGACAAGCATTTAATAAGCACCGGGAGGAAGAGGCAGGTGATCTCATGATTTCAAGGCCAGTCTGGTCTACAGAGCAAGTTTAGGGCATCCTGGGCTACACAGAAAATCCCACCTTCAAAAACAAACTTTGCAAGTTAAATGTCAAGCTAAATTTAGCATTTTTTTTTTCATTTTGGGGGGTGGGGTTCAAGACAGGGTTTCTCTGGTTCACTTTGGAGTCCGTCCTGGAACTCACTCTGTAGACTAGGCTGGCCTCACTCATAGAGATCCACCTGCCTCTGTCTCCTGATAGATTGCAATTAAAGGCATGCACCACTACATCCAGTTTTAAACGCAAAGCAGGGAAACCTTGAACATACTGTACTTGAAGCTTTCCAGATGTGAGATGCTAACAAAAGCTGTGAAGTACAGAAGAGCTGTTGCATTTAATTAAGACCTTTGGAAAGAGTCAAAATGAACACCTAGTGAAAAGATGATGTAAAATGCTGTATACGATTATGCTTGCTGGATGAATCTCAGTACTAGTTTGGGTGGGACCTAAGAATGTCTTTCAGACAAGCTACTGGGTGAGTAAAACATAAAAGCAGACTGGAGTCTAGTTGCTTGTCCTTTCTATTCTTGTCCATGGTAACATGGACAGTCACAGGAGGTAAATACTTTAACAGACAATTCAGATTGTGAGTCAGCTTGAACCTAGAACAAAACTGACTTGCAAGAATCAGAAACCAACGAGAAAACTACACCCTAGAATCACACTGTTGGCATTTCTACAAAACATTACCCTGAAATGTGATTCATGATTGTCAACTAAGTAGGGAACAGAACACCAGGATTGTCTGGTGGGCCACACCAAAACTACTGCCTTCTTCAGACATGACTTTTTTATAATCAAGTCCCAGGTATTGAGCTTTCATTAGGCCCCTATAACCTCTGGCTTGGGGGTAATTGCAGAGTTAGCCCCCAGATGTCAGCCTTTGAGCAGGTCGCATTCTGTACTACCACATGGGAGTTTCTCCCAACTTGGCTACTTCGTCGGGAAGTGGGTACCAGAGGTAAGCATCGACCTTAATGCTGCCTTAGCACAGGACTGCTCCAAGAGGATGGTTCCTACCTCTAGCCCTAGAGAAAGCTGGCCAGGAAGGGCTTTAGTAGCTGAAGGATGGGCTAGAAATTTTCCAAATGTAATCCCAGAAACTAGAAACTACCAGTTTATCCCTTAGATTACTGGTATACCATGCTACAGTCCCTGTAGCAGCAAACACCTTTAATCTCAGCACTCTAGAGGCAGAAGCAGGCAGATCTCCATGAGTTTGGGGCCAGCCTGGTCCACAAGAGCTAGTTCCAGGACAGCTAGAACTCACACAGAGAAACCCTGTCTTGAAAGACCAAGAATAAATAAAGAT